GCAGAATTTAATCTGAGTCTGTTCCTCTCCATCCAGCCCTGAATGCACCCTGAGTCAGGACATTGTCAACATTACCTGGGTGGCTATATTTATATTTATATTAGCTGGATGGCTATCAGCAGACACCATGAGGGTAGAGTAATAATGACGTTTTGCTGCCATTTCCACCACAATATAATCCCAGATATGGACTCTTCCTTGTATTCCATCGGATTCACTCTTTGTCTTACTCCAACAGCGCTCTATTCTTCTTGTTGTAGGCTATCTTGAAAGCCTGCCTGAATTTCTTTGACCCTTTCTGTATTAAGCAGAATCAAGGTGGGGATATTCTGAGATTCTTTCTCACTTTCTACTTTCCCAGGACATCATTCCTTCATCAAGGTTAACTCAACATTTCTTTACAACCAGCCATCAAAGTTGCACTGGTAAAGACAGTTTGGAGAGACTGGACCTTGGTCACTGTAAACCCATTTAGGAGGACTTCAGAATTCATTGCGGCTTTGGAAAGCCCCAGTCAGTATTTTTTATGGCAGAGGGAAACCATTTGAGGCTCCTGCAATTCCCACAAACTCTGAATATGATCCCCAAAACTTTAAAATATGGTATTAAATAGTAAATGTGTTGGAAAGAGAACATCAATAAATATATGACTATAAACTCATGATATTAACATTTTATTTTAATTCAATGTAAATAAGATATCTTATTTAATAAATAAGATTATTTTTGGTGATGCCACCCACTATATTTTTCACTGTAGTTTCCAGCTCATTGTTCAAAGGCAGAGAAGTCTTCAAGCTAGGAAAAATTGTGCACAGTTCTTTTCCTCACTATTGTGTGTATGCTGAAGTTTCTTACATTAGAAAAAAAAATGAAACATTGAAAAAAGACAACTATTCCTGAATGAAGTTCCTTGACCTATAACTTGTCATGTTATTTACAGCCAAATCATAGGAATTAGGCCACCATTTATGCTGCCTTTGAAATCATTTCTGGTTTCAGGATAATAATGTAGACCTTGGACAGGAAAGTGCACACAATCCTCATCTCCTTCTTAGCACTAACTAAGAACACTTGCACATTCCGCTGCTTCCACCTTCTGTATATGTTTCCTTTCCAGAGAATGATGAATATAGTCAGCGAAGGCAATTTAACATTTTACAAATTACGGCACCATCATAAAAACAGGAATAGCACGGAATTTGCTTCTGTTACTCTGACATTTCAAAACATTGACAAGCAGAATAAGTGTGAAAGTAATAGAGTGTCAAACAGCAAATTATTAATGAGGTAACAGGAATATCATCATATAAAGAATATAAACCTTAATTAAGTAGAAATAAACAAAATGAAATTTAGTTTTGTCCTAACACCATCCATTATATTTTTAAGCCAGATTCCTAATCAAAGGATCATAATACACTAGGTCATCAGTCTAGAAAAAATCATGTACCCCTCTTTCACTAGTTAATGTGTGTACCTGAAAAATAGCATCATAAAAACATGTAAAAATATCTATTCATGACTGAAATCTTTGGACTCATTAATTGCCATATCTAGTGCCAAAATCATCTTTTATCTTGTTCTTGAGATCAAAGCATGCTTCTTCCTGACTAGCTGCTCTCTGGTGTTGAACTCTGGTCACAGCATCATAATATAGCGCTTGGGCAGGAAAATGCAAGCCAATAAGCCAGCACTTGAGGCCAAGATGGAGAAGACCTCCACGGCCACCATGGATTTCCCCTTGGTGCTCAAGTAGGTGGGCACAAAGGACACCCAAATGCTGCAGAAGACCAGCATGCTGAAAGGGATGAGCTTGGCTTCATTGAAAGTGTCGGGCAACTTCCGAGCAAAGAAGGCCACCGTGAAGCTGACGATGGCCAGAAGCCACATGTAGCCCAGCACAACATAGAACATGAATTCTGAGCCTTCGTTGCATTGCACCAAG